AGCGCCCGGGTCTCTTCTTTAATATATTTGCCTTCGCGATCTATTTTTATTTGCTATTATTTTCAGATATATTAAACCAAAAATACAAAAATACCTTGCTGCAATGTTTAGTAATTTATTTTATCTCGCGTTCCCGCGAGATCTATTTATCCAAACTACTACAATTTTATCTATCTTTTTACCCATGAGGGATTGACAACCCCTCTCTTACGTCAGGTTGCAAGTATTTGTTCTTTGTGTGCAGGAGCTGTTTACGTTGTGTCGCGTGGTTCTCCTACTAGTTCGATAACCTTGATCTCATCACTGAGGGAAATACCTGCCATTGTTGTGCTGCATCATCCCTTCCTCTTTGGGGAAATACCGACATAGTTCAAGCAAGCATCAAAAGGAATTTCTGGCGCCGGTGCCGAGGAGACATCATCAACATCAACCAGGTTCCTAATCACAAATCTCATCTCTTTGCAATTTGCCATTTGCCTCTCGTTTTCCTCTCCCCCACTTCACAAATATTTGCCGTTTTGTTCACCCTCTTTTTTGTTTGCCGTTTTCTCATCAGATCTGTTTTTGAGTGTGTTCTTGTTTGCGTAGTCATGATGCCTCGAAGAAAATATTATGATGTTCCTTACCCAAATATTTTGCTTGAAATTGAGAAAAGTACTAAAGAATATATGACTACATAATTTGAGCATAATAAATATTTTACAAAAGAACTTAAGGAGCACTCCATTGTGCTAGATGCTATAACAAAACAACTTGATGATATTAGTAGAGAAGTTTGCAATCTCCAATCTAAGTATGCTTTCGCTAAAAGTTTGCTAGGTAAAATATCCGATGCACAAGCTACTTTAGTAAATAAAATGGCCGCCAAACCAATCTCGTTAGAAGATAAAAGTAATGAAGATCTTAAAATGATTGGTGTTTCTTCTATTGATTGTTTGTTTAGTAAAATTAATATTAGTGAAAAAGGTACTGGAGAAGAGTTAAATTATCTAAAATGCGTCCCGATAATTTGGAGGGTGAAAATCTTGTTGAGAAAATTGATAAAAGTGGGTTTGAAGAGGTCAAAACTTTAACTAGTGATGTGCCCACTCTTTTGGATTACAAAGACTTTAATTATGATAGTTGCTCCCTGGTTGATTGTATTTGTTTGTTGCAATCCATGATAAATTCACCCCATGCTTATGAACAAAATAAAGCTTTTACTAAACATTTTGTTGATGCTATGATGAAAGCTTTTGAAGAAAAGTTGGAATTAGAAGTTTCAATTCCTAGAAAATTACATGATGAATGGGAACCTACCATCAAAGTCAAGATTAAAAATTATGAGTGTTTTGCTTTTTGTGACTTGGGTGCTAGTGTTTCTACAACTAGACGATACCCCGCGCGTTGCCGCGGGACTTATAAGCACATTATGTAAAGCTATAAAGCTAATTCATAGATGTTATAGTATATTGAAAATAAATAGGATGGTAGACACAATGATGGAGTATATTGAGGCACTTAGCTCTAAGGTATAAGCTTATTACATATACTTACAGATAAGAAATTCTCTATGATACGATGTAATATAAATGTTATATAAAATTTGTGTCATAAAAAGTGCTTGTAGATGAGCCTTTTCGTCTTTGATATACCTCACAGAAAACAAAAACCCAAGAAGGAAGATAAAATGTTACATACAGATTGCAATTCTGGTGTTGTGATACATAGCTCTCTGGTTGCACCTCTGTATAGTAAATATGGATTAAATAGGGCAAATAAAAATCAGCGGATGCAACTTTGTGGTGATAAATGACGGCATTTAATATCACCACAATAGCTATATCTTGAAGATCTTGTTATCATAGCTATGCTTGATAGGCTGATAGCAACAAAAAAGTGAATTCAATATGATGTTTGAAATGTTCTCATACCCAGAGAAAGGCGAATCAGGGGTGTCAAAAGTGATTACTACAATTAACATGGGATAAATTTAGTGATGGTGCCTGAGTTGAAAGTCGAACACAAAAAATGTCTTGTAGCAAAGAGAATGGTAAGCATCAGAACAAATTTGTCAGCTGTATAGAAATATAAATATATACATACATAACATCAGTTCATTACAAAAGTAATTGGTACAAATATGCTGGTGTAAGATAAAGATTGTAAACACATTTTGATTGTAAACTATATCAACATAGTAAGACATATAACTCCAAGTCACCAAATAGAATGTCCCGATATCGCCATGCAAAAAGGTCCAAATTCATAAGAAAAGACTTTCTTAGACAGCAGACTACTTTCCAGTAGATGTTTACTCGTCAAATCTCACATATGATAAAGCATACCAGTAGATATTTCTTTGTTGCATATGATAAAGCATATCACGTTCAAAGAAAATAAATCCTACCAGGCACCACACCAAAGTGTTAACCTCTCCAGATCCGACTATCAGGGCCAGAACGTACCTTGCTATGAGTTTATGACGCATTCGATGGATCATTTGCTAGGACAGATAGAGAGATGTGGGACCTGTAAATTTGGTAGGTGATCAATAATCAAATTATCTGCACAAACAAATAGACCTTCAACCTGGACATTGATTAAGAAAAACATAAACCAGTGGGAAGGATAGGGAATTAAATTTGGTAGAGTATTGTGGCAGTATGCCATGGTTGTGGTACTTGGCGCATAAGCAAACAAAGAAATAAGAATATATGATAATTGAATCTCTAAATGGAAGTGCATACCAAAATTTCTCCCAACAAAATCAGTTGTACATATAGAAAGGAATTGATGCGGCGCATATTGTTCAAATGATAAAGGGCTGTGATAATTTGAGGGGGTAAGGGTAAGCACAAATGGAGGGGAAGGAGAAAATCAGCAGGACATAGACATAGCCTACATTGGGAGCGAGAGAATATTATGGAATAGTAAGAGAAAGGAGGTGGTACCTGCAAGGAGGATGGAGTTATATACTACTATCATGCGGGGAAAGAGACAGGGTCTTGAGTGATTGATTCGGAGCCATGCCCGGACGCACCAAATCCCACTAATTTAGCAACACGGCCCCGCGAAATCGGTGCCAATGACTCCAGAATCCTATCTTGCTCCCCGCAGAAGCAGGTCAAACTCCATTTTTTGGGGCCCAAACTAATTCTCTACGAATCCATAGTCAATCACGCAGAGAAGCAACCACACACACGCAAACAACAGCTATTGATTCTTCTCAGACTAGTAAGAGTGCATGTGCAACGCACGTCTCCACCAATAAACACATAAAATTCGTTTGAGTATAAAGTTTAAATTTGTATTCTATAAATTCTGAACAATAGAACAAGGCATGACAAAGATTAAATCGATGCACAACAATATGCATTTTTAACATCAACTCGTAAATGATTCAGGAACATAATATCAGATGAACATAAATATAGTGAGTAATCATGCATGCAGGGCATGTCTCAAATGATTTATACAATAAATCAAACATAAGGGACCTTAGAAATTTTATGGTAAAAGAACCAATAGTAGACACTGAAGTGTTACAATGCAACCTAAGGAAAACCTGATACATCTTTTGTCTAATATGCTTATGAAATTCTCGCATAAACTGGGATGCCTTCTTAAGATTCGCCCCCTTAAAACTTTGGTAAGTATATCAAATTCTGGCATAAATGGAGGAAGCTGCTACTATTCCACATAATAGTGGCTACTATTAAACACATGCTATTGGATCATGCATGCACACTGGCAGAGTGCCTTATTTTCATGTTCAACGTTGCTTCTTTGACTGTACTGTTGATAATCTGGTTCAACACAAGCAGTGGCACAACTTCAGAAGTCAAATTTCAAGAATCTTTATTCAAGAGGTCAAATGAATTAAAAATATCATGAGTAACAAACATTCATCCTGGTGCTACTGTTATAAATAAATGTGCATTTATAGAAAATACGTGAATGAGAGGTATCTTTTTTCAATAATTTCTTGTTAGGACAGAAAAGTATTAGTACCTTTGCTGAATCCCTCAAGTAGTAGAAAGGATCACTGCTTATTGCGAACGTGAACTCCTGACCAGTTTGGAATGAGGCAAATCTTGAATACTAATTTCTGGGCCCTGAATATGTTAAATCTAGCTTATATCAGAGCAAATAAGCTGGAATATGGTGAAAGAAGGGTCGGCATAAAAAGGTTTGATTACACTATTTATTGATAGAGCAAAATCATGTGCTTGCATGCGCATGCCAGACTTATAATTGACTCGTCCATAAGAGTCTACAAGCATGGTCTCAACTCTTTCACCAATTCAATAATTTTCTGGTGCGATGCATGGTCTCCATGTGACATATTAGCCGAGCCACATTGATGTCACCCTCAGCAAAATCCTAGATAATCTCCCTTGTGTTAGTTGAGGGACCAACTGTGCACATTCCTCATTTTGTGCCTAACATTTGGTTTAGACCACCACATACACATTGGATGATGTACTGTTATTTGATGAATGTCCATAAGGTGCTGGTAGTCCTCATTTTTCTGTCAAGAAGTTTTCTTACAATTAATTTCAATGCATCAATTTATAAGGTTCCGTGCCCACAGAACAATGCATTATATTCAACTTAGTTAGCGTTCAGCATTTAGTAGAGACATATGATATGATCATTTTGCACTTTACAGTACTAAGAAGACGACATGAGATAATACCAAATGCATTTGATTAAACCACTGTTCACTTGAAGAACAAGATCACAACCAACTAAGTTGATTATATTTCAAGCAAGTGCGCGGATCACAAAAACAGCAGTAGGTGTTCAATTCAAACATATATGCAGACATACAATAAGTATACAACTAAAAAATTAGGCTCCTGGTAAGCTGAGATGGCAATACATGTAAGAACTATACCAAACTAACCTGAGTATTGTTCAAAAACAATTGATATGTGCTCTCACCATAGAGCAGAGATCATAACTTATAGTTCAGAGATACGTGTGTGCTCTTACTGGGAACCTCGCTGCTATCTTCAGAAAAGAGGAATTGCCTTGAGATTGTGGAAGCCGTCGCCAGTCCAGATGGAGATCTTGCTCAGTGTGTAGCTCTCATCCAACTTGAAATCCATGTAGAGAGTAACAAGCTCGCCCCAACAACAAATTCAGATCAGAAAAAGGATCCCACACATAGAAGATTAGATAAGTGTTTCGAATGGATGCCCTCATCTAGCTGGTTCTTGTCATTCGACTTCGCCTACGCTGCATATATACAGATACAGGTGGCACGAGGAAATCAAGATCGATTTTAAGTCTAAAAGCATGCCCAGATTCAACCAAACTAATCAATGGACGATATATAATCACGGGTAAAAGCGCTCTATGAGAAACAAGCACTGTATATAATAACCTGCAAACATTTATCACTTTCTCTCTCTCGCTCGCTACTCCATGGAACAAGAACAAATACTATTCGATACTTCTTGCATGTAGAAACTGCTCTAGTTTATTGAAGACTTGATGCACAATAGTTACACATGATTATGCTCCTAATTAAATACTCTAGTAACTATTTGGTTTATCTAAGACTCAATGAAAGGAATCACGCATCATCCAAACAAAATTGAGCGGAAGGCAGCGGAAGATCGTTTACTCATCGTGGTTACCTGCAGCAGTACATTCTTCTGAAACTGGATGTTGACCATGTGTGTCTGCACACTGTCTGACCTGAGAAATATAAATCCGCCAACGATGAGGGTGCCCCTGCAGTTTGTAAGATCAACGATGATCAAAGAATAAAAGCTATACCATGTGTTGTGGTGGAATGAGATAATGACAGGGTCAACTAATCCAACATTTATCTGTTTCAAGAAGAAAAGGGTAACCATTTTCAATATGCCACTGAAGTTTGTCTACATTACATTCAGATTGATGTGAATATGAAGTCACAACAGATTGGATAGTTTGTCTCTAACCTCTTATTCCGACATTTGTGAATCGAAAAGAAAAAAAATCTGAATCAGCCTAGAAAAGCAAGGAACCACGCCTGCAAAATTGATTCCTATGCAGAGACGAAAATCCTAGAACTTGACATGGCCAGCATATGATTCACCTCAGCTCGATGGCTATAGCACACGGCCGCAGGTATGGGCGCACGCATGAGGGAGAGCAGAACGCAGGGGCTTACCTAGGCCAGAGTCGAAGAAGCATCTGGCCATCGGAGGCGGAGGAGGTGACATGGAGGGAGCGCAGGGCAGAACAGCAACCGCGCCGGTACCCGCCTCCATCGGGCCGCTGGCCGTGATCCGCGCTGCCTGAGGTGGAGCGACCATGGACGCTGCGGATTCGCCGCCATGGTTGCTCTGCCCAGCCTAGAGAAGAAGGGTCAGGGAACACGAGGTGGAGCGGCTGCGGATGCTGCAGATCCATCGCCATGGTTGCTGTGCCCAGTGAGAGAAGGGTCGGGAGGCACTGATTTTTCCTTTCTGACTGGCGGCGAGGCACCGAGTCGGATGGAACTGATACACATATTGTGGGCGGGGCAGCGGGGATTAGGGGACGCGGAGCGCGAGGGCTGTTCGCAGACCATGTGTAATATGAGCAGTAGGATGCGTTTAAGTTGACTTAATCCGAGGGTCCTGATTACTTTGTGTACAGTTTACTATGTGGTTTTAGATGGTGTCTCCTGCTAAGGTTTGGGGCGCAAAACCTAACATGTGATCGGGTCGAGGAAGCCGAAGAAATGCATGAGGTCGACCAGAGCACGGGGACACGACATGACATCTGCCCCACCCTCCCTGATTTTTAACTCTCCGGCCGCGGCCAGATCCCGTAGAGAGCGAGTCCCTTTCTTGCCCTCGAGTCGGACGTCATCGGAGAAGAGACCGACGTGTCCCAGCCTCCACGCCCGAGCGCCGGCGGGAGGGAATCTCCCGATCGACGCCCGCATCCTCGGGAGCCGCCGCTTAATTCCGCTCGGCCCCCTGCATGCCACCGTCGGCAAGCTGCCACGTCCGCCGCACGTTCTGTGAGCGCGGAGGAGTAAATGGATAGGGGAAAAGCGACGTGGTCGTTCGCTCGATTGGTCGGCCAAAAAGTTCACGTGGTGCATCTACCATAGACGACGAAGATAGCATGCGTGCGTGCAGGCGGGACGACAATGGTACTCCATGCTTGTAAACACGAACGCGGCGACGCTTCCGCGTTTATACGATAACAGAGGGCGAACTAATAAATGAATGCCGCGGTGCCTCCAGCCGTTTCGTGTAGAGCGTCCATCATGGAGGCACCAAAGGGACAGTGGTGGCAGTAAAGAGCCGCTGCAGTGAAGACGAAGTGATAAGCGAGTTACGTGGAGGTGGAAGGGTTAGGCTTGACGGTCGTGCTAGAGCGCTGGTTCAGGGAGAGAGGTCGCTCGTGAGGCAACTTGGTGGGTCTGTAGCAAGTAACTGAAGCTTATGTGGCAATGGTGTTGTAGTAGTTGGTCCCATATGTAAGTCACTAAAAGAATGATGATGTGGTGGGTGTGCTGAGGTGGATATGCTGCATGTCAAGAGAAATAACATAGTGGGGATGAACTATTTAGGTATTATAGATTCTGAAATCTTTATATGATGTACTTGGTCTTACCGATATTGAAGAACGCTCTTTAAATTTGCACTTGGCAGATTCTACTATTAAAAAGCCTATGGGAAGAATTAATGATGTTCTTATTCTTGCAAGGAATTACATGCCGATAGATTTTATTGTTCTTGATATTGATTACAATCCATCTAGTCCAATTATACTTGGTAGACCGTTTTTGCGTACTATTGGTTCCATGATTGATATGAAAGAAGGAAATATTAAATTTCAATTTCCACTAAGGAAGGGTATGGAACACTTCACTAGAACAAGAATTAAGCCACCATATGAATCAATCATGAGGGCATCGTATGGATCTAGAACTAAAGATGACAACTCTTATTCGCATTATGCCCAGCTAGGGGCGTAAAACATAACGCTCATTGGGAGGCAACCCAACTTATATCTTTTTGCTTTTTGGTTTTCTTGCTGTTTTAAATAAAATACCCAATTATGCCTATGATTAGATGTGTTTTTATGGTTTAAATTAGTGTTTGTGTCAAGAAAGGCCTTTGGGATGATTTGGGGTGAGAGTTGATTTGATCTTGATGAAAAACAGAAACTTGTGCGCTTACGAAAATAATTCCCGTTTTTAACATAAGAGTGATTTTGAGTTGATTCCTTTTGGAGAAAATTAACAAACAAATTTTCCACGTCTTCCTAATTTTTCAGAATTTTTGGAGCTGCATAAGTATTCGAAATAGTCAGATTGCTACAGATTGTTCTGTTTTTTGTCAGATTCTGTTTTCTTTGCGTTGTGTGCTTGTTTTGATGATTCTACGATTGTTTTGCTGAGCTTTTGCCATAGAAAAGTTGGAATACGGTAGAAATAATGCAAAAATAAAATATGAATGGGTTTGCAACAGTACTTATAGTAGTGGTTTGCTTTCTTATAATAACGGATCTCGTGAAGGTTTTTTGAGTTTTGTGTGATTGAAGTTTTCAAGTTTTGCGTGATATTACGATGGATGAAGGAATAAGGAATAGCAAAAGACTAAGCTTGGGGATGCCCCAAGATAATATTCAAGAAGTAGCAAGCAACTAAGCGTGGGGATGCCCCCGAGTGGCATCCCCTCTTTCTTCTAACAACCATCAGTATTTTACTTGGAGCTATATTTTTATTCGTCACATATTATGAGTTTTGCTTGGAGCGTCTCGTATGATTATGAGTCTTTGTTTGTTTTATTTTGTGTTTTAAGTTTTGAATCCTTGCTTGACGCACCTTTTTGAGAGAGTCAAAAATTATGTTATGCTTGCTCCTATGCTTCACTTAAATTTTTAGAGCCATGAAATTCCTCTAGTGCTTCACTCATATCTTTTTGAGCATGGTGTGCTTTGTTATTTTTTAAGAAACTAGCAGAGTGACCCGCTTGATGTGCGGGCTAGAATTTATTAAGTTTAGTAACGTGATCATAATATATTATTATCTAAAGAAAAATCGGAACCATATGTTATGAGACTTAAAAATATATCACTTTTGTGAATATATTTTCTCTTAGGTATTTTTGGTTATTTATTTATATATAAATACATATGTTATCCATTTTTCCATTTGCATTATGATTATGCATGCCTTACTAATTGTATTCTTTATGATCACTCATGTTGTATTTATTTACATTTTGAAATACATTGTCGAACTATTAGGAATTAGTAGGTTTAGTTTTTAATCATTGTAAATTCCTATTTATTAAATCTCTTAATATGACTAAATATTTTTTTACCATAGCGAGACATTTATATTTTTATTGTTGAAATACGGAAAATGCATATACTTTATAGTGCAATGGAATGATTAAATAAGTACCATCATATGTATTCACTTAGTAGAAGTTTTTCCTTCAAAAGTAGATGTTCATGGCGTTTTGAAGGACTAAAATCAATAAGAATGAGACTGAACTTATGATTTTGTTCTCCCCTTTGCTCGTGCCCCTCCTTGACATTATGCTTGATGGTAATGCATACTGAACTATTTTCTGTATGCTAAATAAATTTCATAAGCTCTATGGAATAGTTCTCGGATAACAATTTTTTAGAACAATACTTAATAGTCTAGAAATATACAAAGTGAACCATGCAATTCTTTCTAAAATATCAATTTTTATGCCTCACTATATAAACATAGTGATTTAAAAAAGTTAGTCCAATAGCAGTTGAGGCTTCTATGGAGTGTGTGTTCTTTCACCGTGGCGGACCTTCCACATGTTTGCTCCTCCCATAGGAGCAAGCTTCCCATTAGATTGTGCTTGTATGGTTGTCGTGCTTTTCTTATGTTCACTTTGTCATCCATGGACTTAACTCAAGTGGGCTTGGACCTCGATGTATTGACATTCACTTGTTTTTCTGCTAATAAAACTTGGCAAGAATCCCTAGGTTTCAGAAGAAAAAAGTTAGTCTTGGGGGAAGTAAAATAGTGAAGAAAATACCATCTTCCAAACTAATTGAGCAAGACATAAAAAGAAGACTTGAACATACAAATGTGTGTAGTTAAGATATAAGACAAAGTTCAGAGAAAACTCAAAGTTATCAAATGTGTATTAATACTTTGTCCAAAAGGATCGTGTAAATTTGATTGTAAAAGATGGTATCACACTCTAATAAAAAGAATATGAACTTAAATTGTGCTCATCAAAATATTAGGCCCGATAAATGGTGAGAAATGGACAATTGACACTCAAAGGAATGTGTCGATGCTTTTGTTGTTCCATATGTTTCCGGTACACCAAGTGATTTTACATATAAGCTTTTACATGAAATCCTTAATGAGACGCTATTCTCTGTAGATTCCGAGTAGGTTAAAGTTTAAGATCAGACTGATTGGAAATTTTGAACTAAAACTATAAAATTACACATGTAGTGGATGTGTAGTCAAGTTTTTTCTTGAACACAAATATACACATACTTGATTTAGTAAATTACATTTTTGGCATTAAATTTAGTTATATTTCCAAACCTACACATTATGGTCTATAGGGAACATACCAATTTGTACTTCTGCTATTGGCCTCTTTGTTATTGAAACAATGATGATACCTTTTGTGAAAAAGATAAATTCTTAATTTTAAGCTGTATGGAATAAAATCGTGTGGTTCTTTTTAATTGAAGGCATGTCTACTAATTCGACAGTGCGGCTTACTCTATATGTATCTGGTAAGATTGTGTGTGCCACCTAGTTTTGTGAGAAAAGTTATTATAGGTGAGTGTTAGAAAACTTCGTTCCTCTATCCCAAATTATAAGACGGTTTTTTGTAGCTACCAAAAACGTCTTATAATTTGGGACAAAGGTACTACAAAGCAAGTTCATAATGGATCAATCAGTAGAATGAATCATTTACCCAAGTAATGTACACACACTTTAGAACCTCCTGTGGGTCTGCAACACTACAAGAAATATGTCAACTTATGACCTTCTGTCAGTGATCCTGGAAGAATTGGTCATAGATTTATGACCATTTGAGACCAATTGGTCAAAAGCTGTTCGAGGGGCTCCAAACCCTAAACCATTGCGACCATTTTGGTCAGAAAGGTCATAATTTCCTTACACGAAATGGTCATAAAGCAAACAACGCTAGTCTGCTGCCTTATTTCTAGTTGTTAACGACCAATATAGATGGTCATAGCCTTGTAAATTGTGGTGGGTTGCGATGACTAGGCGCCATCTCATCAGTTTTGCCTATGTGTCATGTCCATGTGGCAGTTTTTGCCCTAGGTTGTGAAGCAACCTATATTTCTGTCATTCCCAAAATTCCCAAACAAATCTCATAAATTCTTTGGGTCATATCTTCGTCAAATATGTAAAAATGTTCCTTTCC